TGTACAGTTTGCCCCGAAAGTTGTATTTTTCGGACTGTTTTAAATATATTTTATTTTATCGGGTCCAATAAAATATATTACGTGTTCCCATTCGTAAAGGCCCTTTGAAACAATATATATTCCAAAACATTAATTTAGAAGTCTCCGAAATTCATTTTCGGGCTCAAGTCTGTTAAATTGTCGGTACCGGTATTTGGGCCTCTTTTGCCCAATCGGCCAACACAGGGCCTTTCCACGACCCAAGTAAAATATCCACCACCATATAAATATTATCTTGACCAAGATGAATAAAATATGTGGTCTCGGGAATGTTGGGTGGTCCCCGCTCCCGATGTGGGTCCCACGTGCAATTTACTATTCACGTGAAAGAAATAATAAAATTTTACAACTCCGTAAATTCATTATGGTTCGATACATCTTAAAATCTTAAAATCTTATAATCCTCAATGAAGGTTTGGGCATTTTAGGGATGAAAATAATGTTGGTGTAATCACTTGCTTTATTAGGTGGTACGTTATGGTTTGTTGTGTGTACTTTTTTAGAGGAATTTAATTTTCCGTCTCATTTCCGTCGATAGCTCCCGTCTTGCTAAACCCCAGTTTCTAATGGAACACGGGATTAAAATAGACATCCCAAGCAGAAATTCAAGAGCCATGGCGCACTGCTCAAAAAAGAAAAAAGAGCCATGGCGCTAGAGCTCCAGGGGATTTCGAATCTCTAGCACCCCCAACCCTGGTTTCGCGCAGAGCAGGTCTCATCCACGCCCTAACCACACCGCGCTAGCTCCCGTCGTTTCCCTCTCCTTCAGCCAACTGTCAAGGTTTGTTTCCATGTCGTTTCTCCGATTTTCGCTCAGCTATGCTCATCTCCTTCCTCACAACAGTATTTGGGTGATTAAGTTGAAATGCATGTTTTGATCAAGTTAAGGGTCCTAACTATGCAATTCATATGCTGAGAAGCATCTTCAGATCAAAATTTCTTTAGTATTTTGTCACGTGTTGACGTGCACTTTGTCGTGAGGTGCACTCAAAGTAATAATACAATATGACACTAATACGTAGTATAGTGTAGTAAGGTTCGTATCCACAGGGAAAGGAATACTTTTCTTCTTACAGAAATAGATAAGTAACAATAAGGGGGGTTTATATTTGGTTGATGAACTTTAAATTATATTTAAATACGAAGATGAACGAGTTATGTGGTTTAATTAATGAGAAGAGGACTTGGCTTTGCTTTTATCCACTTAATGAAATGTTCGTCGATCCCGGTTATATCTTTAACTATCTTCCTCTCGAATACTCAATCGAGGAGTATATCCAATTCATCGAGGGTAGTTATTAATAACGAGACGCGTTCATTAATAAAACTTACTACCGAGTTAATATAGAACACGCGCCGTATATTCACTCGATAGTAGCAATAAAATCAAGATGAAAACGATTGAGATTGATAACCTCAACACAAGCGGTTTATTGGTTTAATCAATATAATTAATTCCCCTTGGTTTATTAACCATGAAACGCATGCATTAATAACCCAAGTTTACTACCGCGAAAGGACCGAATTAATAACAAGCGTATTAATCGACCGATTCTATTAATAATTAATATATGAAACAAAACTAGTTGATCCTTTAAGTAATGTTCAAAATATTAATATAAAATATGAATAGGAATTAATTAATACTCAAGGAAGAATATTAAAGAAGATGAATCCTACTATAGTTAATATCAAGATGTTAACTAATTGTCATCTTAGTAACACTCCCCGATATTAACGTAGAGGAAGAAATAACTATTACTATAACTAATGTCAAGATGTTAACTAATTGTCATCTTAGTAACACTCCCCAACATTGATATAGAAATAGTATTTAAAGAAAGAATTAATATTCAAGGAAGAAGATTAAAGATAATAACTCACAACTTACAAATTCATTAAGCTTCAAAGTAGCAAAACCAAGATGGAAGAGTTTAGTTCCTCATTTGGAGACTAAACATACTATAAAAATATAAAAGAAATACTATTCTAAACTGAGCTTAAGAGTATGGAAGAAGGGATGCTTCAAAGTGAAGGAAAATGGGGCTACTTATAGGTGTTTTGAAGGTGCTGCACCGGATACCCGACCGGGTATTTGAGATACCCGACCGGGGTATTTGTCAAAATCAAATATTTTGCCCACGATTTTGTGTTTTCTGCACGTCTTTTTGTCCGGGTCACTTCATACCCGACCGGGTAAAGGCTATACCCGACCGGGTAAGTCACCAAATCACATTTCTTGCATGATTTCTTGTTCCCTTGCACTTTCCTTTGATCTTGTAAGATCCCTTCCATGATCCTTTGTTGATTCTTGATTGTTTCTTGCTCAAGATGATTCTAAATTTACTAAATTACAACAAACTAGAAAAATAAAATGATTGCACCTTAAATGTGCAATTACCACAACAACACACCATAAAAAGTAATTAAAAGTAAAAATATAAACACTCAAAAATCAATGCAATCATGTGTTTAGCTTCTTCTTCACCTGATATATTATTTCAATCATTTAGTTATATAGTTAGTTGAGTTTTCCATGTTTTACTTTGACTTTAGCATGGCTTATATACAATATGGGGTGAATTGTTCTGAGCTTGTAACTAGATTTTTGCTTTTCTGGATATCAATTTTCCTCAAGACCATTGGAGTTCCAATCTGACTCAATTAAACTTATCTAATTATGTAGTTGTTGGACAAGCTAAATAGAAAGGGCATCACGAAATAAAATAGTTTTTGAACATGCTAAGTAGAAATGGCATCACAAAAGTGAATTATACTCCGTAGTTCCCTAAATGGCTGAATGCTATCTGGTAGATACCCGAGTGTAAAAGCCAGTCCATATGTAAGTCATTGGCCACTAGCCAGACTATATAGAAGTCTCCTAAAATTAGTGTTACCAAGATGAAAACATTACAAATAGCATTCAGAGAACACTTTATGATATGAGTAATTTTAGATTATATTCACTATGTAGGACTTTTGTGTTGCCGTCACCTGGTTTACATGTTTAATTACCTGAAAAACAATGAAATAAAAATATAGGTTAAGTTCGTTCAGATTTTTTCAGCTTAAGATTGTTCTGATAAAGTTAGTTCTAATGGAGTATCTGATTTTATACGTTTATGAATCTGATGACTTTGATTACATTTGCTTCATATAACTATCTTTTTCACAAACTCAATAAAGTATCTAGATACTTTTCAAGAGAAATAACATATTCAAGGAATAATTAGTTTTGTAAGTATTATATATGATATTCTGTGCTTTAAAAACATTATGTATAAACCAGTAAGCTTTGCATAGATTCAAGATATGCAGGTAGTTGGCATTGTGTGCTATAGATGACTATTTTGCATCTAGCAGACCCATTCTTGAATTTTGGATAAGATAGACTATGTACAAAGACACATTGTGTGTGGCTGCGCATCAAGTACACATTGTATGTAATAAAAATATTTTTGTCCAGATGAATTATAGGCGAAAAAAGTACAAACTAAGACTTCTCTAAATGCATCCTAAAATGTTTAGGGTGAACAAGGTAAATGTTTAATTCTTTAAGAAAGAAGACTAAATTGGGTATAATCTTCAGAAGTTTTCTAGCTTTCCCATTTTTTCTAAAGTAGTTAGTTTTGCAGAACAAAGGTTTTCTTAATTTAACCTTCTAAGTTTGGGTTATCAAACAGATAACCAATTAAATGGAAGAAATATAAATAATGGCATAACGGAAATAGAGTGCTTAAACCAGCGTGCCCATTTATTTAAAGGAGATGCACTACTTTTTTCCCACAACAACAACATCAAATACTCCGTAATAGATAAGCTTTGATTCACATAGAAGTATGTAACATAAGAAGAAGTTTGCATATCTACAGTTCTAAACAACTATAAGAGGCAATGAGGGTTAGGACATTTTAGGCGTAAAAAATGTGTTGGTGTAACGCTGTGTTTTAATGGGGTTGTACATTACGGTCATGCCATAATACCTCTTTTCATTAACCCTCTTGTTTTCATCTTATCCTATAGGTACCGTTAATGACAAATCATCCGCTACTCCCCATAGATATTGGAACACCAGCAGTTGCACCAGACAGCAGATCTATTTTCTTATGATGTGCTAATCTATTGCAATCAATTCGACGCCGGACCAGAATCCACCTTCGCTGGAGTATATGATGGCCATGGCAGGTCAAAAAGCAATGTTGGAATGTGAAAGAAGTTTGCGCCTACAAAGAGATGCTTGGCATAGTGGTATGACATAATACTCACTTATAGGCCTGGGACCGGTTCGGTTCCTAGGTAAAATATGTGGAACCGTTTGAAAATATGAAATTTTACTAACGGTTCGGTTCTTATAAAATATTTTATAGAACCGATAAGGAACCGAACCGTTCTTAACGGTTCGGTTCTTGTCATTTAACGGTTCCTAGTCTTTGAAAAATTCTTACCAATCATGACTAAATTTTTGTCAAAAAGACATTCAACGTTTGAAATTACAATACAAATATGATGAATCAGTTAAAGAGAATAATAATTTTAAATACTTTGGACCTTTTGAATTCCGACCCGCTGGAGTTTGGATCTAATGAGATGCCTAAGAAGCCTAAGAGAACGGGTTGAAGTGAATAATAATTTTAAATAGTTTTTCTTTTTGAAAATATAATTTTAAATAGTTAAATAACTAAACTAAAGTAATGAATGTAATATAAAAATAAAAATAAATATACATTAAAATACATATACCCATAATAAATATATATAATTTTAATTATTATATATAACGGTTCCTTAACGGTTCCTGGTACATATTTTTTTCAGGAACCGAGAACCGAACCGTTAATAAAAAAATAGGAACCGAACCGTTAAGAAATAACTAATAAATGTCGGAACCGAACCGAACCGGGTCATAACGGTTCGGTCCGGTTCGGTTCTCCGGTTCTTGGTTCCAAAGTCCCAGCCCTACTCACTTATGCTCCTCCTACACATGGAATTTTTTTCCATTCTCAGTGGTCATGTTGATCTTTAAAAAAACAAAACAAGTTAAACGCTTTACAGGGCTTCATAGAACTTTGGACAACCATATAGAGATATCTAAGAATTTTAGGATACATGGGCATGAGGGCACTGTTTCCTTCATAACTGCATTAACTGAGCAGTTATATGCTGCTTGCAACACACTAAGGCTTTTGTCAAATGCGGATTATAAAGTATGTGTTGTTGGTCCCTTTGAGGTAAAATTTCTCTCTTCATTCATACACACCCGCTTGCGGCTTTACTTGTGTTCCGTAGTTCCGCCCCCCTCAATCTGGCTGCCAGTTTACAGATTTTGGCTTTGCTATTTTAAGATATATATTACAGTAAGGTAAAATGTAATCACACTTACACTAATGATATTACTTTGAAAACCACCAAGAAAATGCAAAACCATATTTTCTGATTTTCAGAATTTTCTCTAAGTTGTTGAAAAAGTAGAAAGAAGAAAATGATAATGAGCCCATAGATTCTCATTTGCTTCATTTTGTGGCATATTTTCTTTAACCATTACCATTTTAGTGTCATATGTCACCATGTGAGATTAAAAGAAAGCACTTCATATTTCTAATCTGCAGGTTAGCTCGAGGGAACCTCTTCGTCGTGCTGCTGCTGCTGAATTAATGGAGATAATTGGATCTGCGGTAAGTATCTTATTGTATTTCTTTTCCATCGGTAGCAATCATAATTGTAATCTTTTATTACCTCTTTACCCTATACACTTATTTTCACTTGAGCTTGGTTGGCTTCAGTGAAATGATATCTCCTCGGTATAATTTGAGCCCTCTTATTAAGAGTTGTTTGGTCTTGAAGTGACTGAATGTACTGATTTTTTAAAATTAATGAGTTATGGTACATTCTTCTCATAATCTACATCCATTCATTATAAATACTTTTGTGAGATGAATGGGTTGCCCAAAGTTGTGTAACACATCTTATGTACATTGTATTATTGCACTACCAGAAATATGTCGGGTTTACATGGATGATTGGTTTTTAGGAATGAACTGCAAATATTGTTTGATGAATGGGTTTCAGATGGAAACTCTATTAATAACTTGTGAATAATATGCATTTCTGTTTCTCATGCCCATACACCTCTCCTCAACTTGTGAATAGTTTATTAGTCTGTCATTTTTGTGCTCATGGGAAAACCTTAAAACATCTAATATATTCTTATGGTATTATCTTTCCAAATGTCATCATTGGTTTGATTTATTAATTATTTCTTTCTATATGAGTTTTACAATTTTCAAATAAATGGGTTTCTTTGGATTGTTTCTTTTGAATTAAAGTGTTGTACCTTCTACAAATCATTACACAGGAAGTGAGCATTTCAAATGCCCACCCCAAACCGTGTATTGCTCTCTTTGAAATACTACGTAGTATTCAAGATCTTTTATGCTATTATCAATAAAATTTGTAAATATATGATTTTCTATATATTTCAAATTGCCTTAATCATCATTCCCCTGTTTATAAGATTTATAACATATATATATAGAAATGTTAAAATATGTTAAGAGAAGTCATACTTAGTATTTCATTTTCCGATGAATATTCAAGGGTTGTTTGTCTGGTTTGTGTTTATTTGGTTTGTTCAATTGAGAAACGTCCCATTTTCATTATAAAACACTCAACTATATTTATGGGGCCTGATTTTATTGAGCAGATTTGTAGATTAACATAGTTAGAACTTAAAATGAAGAAGATAAAAAAATACTACACGATAAAAAATTTTAGGGAGTAACACCGTATTTGATTTTGCCTCAAGGATGCATTTATCAATGTGTCGGTAACATAATATAACAGCCTAACAAGTCAAAACTTCAAATATTTGTCTGTTTTTGCTTTTCTTTTTATATCTGAAAAATAAAGTCACACTAAAATACCTTATCATCTACTGAACCAATTTGATAGACATAAGTTCACTTAAATTTCTTATTTAAAGTTTACACTTTTTGTTTGCCATCTTGTAGGTCAGGTGTTTCTATTCGAGAAATGCATGCATGTAGACATATCTTCTTCTTGTGACAAATGTTTTAATTGTGTAGCATGTACGTAATTGTGTGTTTAAATTTGTAAATAAAATAAACCCAACTTTCGTGTGGATAACCGCTCTTATACTTGGGTTCTTTCCATAACTCGAACATGTATGGACTTATACTTGGTGTTATTCAACAACTGGAAACATATATAGAGAGAGGATATCTTTAAACGGATATTGTATCAATAACAAAAAATGAGGGAAAAGTAAGGAAAATGTATTTGTGGTTGGACCCGTTTTCAGATAGGGTCATGTGTTTCATTTTTTATCAAAGTGGTTCATGTGTTTGAATTCCGTTATCACAAGAGGGTTACGCCGTTAAAAAGTATGAAAAAGACCGTTAAAAGTAACTCCGATTTTCTAAAGTGCTCGAAAATTAAAAGAAAAATACCGAAAGGTGCGCCTCGTCAAAATGACCTACAAACCACCTCCGCCTTTGGATTTTTTAGATCTATTTGAATTATTTTTTAAAAATGATTTCGCTAATATCACTTTCCCGATGGACTTTCCGGTGACAAGGGTGGCTGAAAACAAAAAAGAAAGATGGCCTAGGGGGTCATCTTATTGAGGCGCACCTTCCGGTAATTTTCTTTCAATTTTTCGGGCACTTTTGAAAATCGAAGTTATTTTTAACGGTCTTTTTCAGACGTTTTTAATGGCGTGACCCTCTTGTGATAACGGAATTCAAACACATGAACCACTTTGATAAAGAATGGAACACATGACCCTATATGAAAACGGGCTCAACCACAAGTACTTTTTCTGTACTTTTCCCAAAAAATGATTACTTTTGGATCAAATTCTTTCCATGACATTTGCGTGACTTTTTTGTTGATTTGAATTATAATAAAAATAAACAAAAATAAGATTCCTTTCAGTATAATGATTCAGTCTCTCTTAAATAAAAAAAATACAGAGTAAGTGTTTAATTTACACAATATAAATAACATTGGGCATTTTGCATTTGCGCAACACGCATTAAAAAAACTAGTTATTTACATAAAAATAAATATATTTGGGGACGGTGTTACATCATCTACCGGCGTGTACTGTTCATGCGCTCTTTAACCCCAAGAGCATGGTGTTCATAGTGGGTGGTACCACAACATACAAACTGCTCAAATAAGAATAACTAACCTGAAATCTTAAAACCAAATGAACTTTAAAAAAACAATTTCAATTATCCTTAAAGTGATAATTGAGTTGCGAATTTTTGTGGTCTCGCTACCTAAGAAAATTGAAGGCGGATAAAAAAAGAAACATAATTGGGTTATGTTTTAGAGTTTTTTTCCGTATTAATATAGTTAATTAATTAAATAATTACAAAAATAGAGTTGAGTTAAAAGTATTTATCAATATACTGCTGGCTTAACCCTGGTCGGGTAAGTCGCCAAACTGTTGGGTGACTTATAAGTCGCCCAACCGGATGACGACTTATAAGTCGTCCAACGGTTTGGCGACTTACCCTTATAAAATCATCCGGTCAAGCCAAGCCACAGACAGAACGCAACCCACAGACAGCGAGCTAGGACGAGCAACGAACGGCGCAAACGGGCTCCAACTCCGGCGAAACAGTATCAAATGATTGAAGTATAAAGAGAATGCAAAGGCAGCCATGTTAAAGGAAAACGTAGAACCTCTATGAATTCAGAATTGACTAAATTCAATTTTGGCTTGAACTGAAAATTCCTTTCAAAAAAGAAATTGAGTTGAAAACGCATAGCGTGTATGAAATCAGAACCCATCTGCGAGATTATCACTCATCTTCGAGCTTGATGGAGCAGAAAATTTGTTGATGTGAAATCTTTTTCAATCGCACAAGGGAAGAGGTGGATTGGTGCGAGCAAATAGAAGCGACGGAGGTGAAGAGTGAAGGGACGCGGCGGTGGGAGATGATATTAATCGGTTAAAGGAGGGAAGAGTCGCTGCCTAACTGGAGGTGAAGAGGTGCGGCGGTGGCTGCCTAGGAGAGCGCAGTGGTGGTTGCAGTTCGCGGGTGACGCTACAGCCTACATATGAGGATGTAAACGATCCGTGAGAAGGACGGAAAGAAAAGGAAAGAGAACGATGCAGATCATTTCTAAAAAAAGATTGATTTGTAAGTACCAGGACAAGGATTATAGGTAAACAATTGGAGAATTAATACGGAGGAAAGCCTGGGCAACTTTAGGAAAGAGGACAGATTTGAATTTGAAAAACATTAGAATTGGATTTTTGAAGTAAAAAAAAGGAGATAAGGGTCAGTTGAGTACATCAACTTGTATGAGATGGAGTAAAGAGTACACTATATTGCATTTGACATTCCTAAGTACATAAATTCGGGTTTTTAGTGTTCATTGAGTACACCTGTTATATTAACACGTGAATACACTTGATTTGGCTAACAGAATGCTACTAGGTCGACTTCCTGAAGGTTGATGCCAGCCCCTAGCCCCTTGGTCAACTTCCCCTTGGTCGACGCCAGTACCCCACAGGTCAACTTCCCCTTGGTCATTGTGCCCCGTAGGTCGACTTCTCCTTGGTCGATGCGCCCCCGGCAGGTCGACCTCTGAAGGTTGGCTTTCCCTTTTTGGTCAACGCCAAAACCTTGGTCGACTACCCCTTCTTTCTTACTCAGCAGTCCATTAGCCAACTCAGCCATATTAAGGTGTTAATCTAACGGGCGTACTCAATTAACACTAAAAACCGAGTTTATGTACTTATGAATGTCAAATGCATTATAGTGTACTCTTTACTCCATCTCATACAAGTTGATGTACTCAATTGACCCTTTCCTCGTAAAAAAAGTTAGGAAAATGTGTTGTGTACACGGTGGTTTACACGCCCGTGTACACTGCATAAAACCCACCCCTTCTATCGAAAACACTCACCCCTTCCCCTTTCCATCGAAATAACCAACCCATTTTGTCTGCTCCCCTTTTTCATTTGTCTGTGTCCTTGTCTCTTTCTATACTGCTCGTCCTCTTCGGCTTCAACAGACGACCACCATGGATACGAGTACAACACACGAACTTGGCGTGGGCTGGACATCGGAAGATATTTTCGGACAGAGTGAAGGTGAAACCGTAACGCCGGCTGCGATGGAAGCCGGTGAACAGAAGACGGAGGGTGCCATCCAACGGGATGAAGATGCCACGCCGGCTGCGATGGAAGCCGGTGAACAGAAGACGGAGGGTAATTAGTTACTCTTTTTCTTAATCCCTTAGCATTTAACTTAAATTGAGGGATTGGAATGCATAAATTCATGCCTAGCTATGAAATGAGAAGTAATAGTGATTGGAATTTGAGACAAGTATGGTTTGTAAGGCTTGAATGCAATTAAATTCATTTTGAGTTCTGGTTCTGCTAAAAGAAAAGTTGAGGGAAGAAGAAATTGTGATGGTGGAAGGATGAGTGGCAGTCTGGCAGACCTCTTTCTTCTCATCATGTAAATGCATCAGACATTATGTAAATGGATCTTGTAAATTACCAGTAGCTTGTTTATGTGTTCTTTATGACTTCTTTATTACTAAGGTTTGAATATGACTTGTTTATTGTGAAGATAATGTATCATGTAAATTAAATATGTTTTAATTAGCAGGAGCTTTAACCACGTGAGTGCTTGAGGGACATCTTCTACCTCTTCATGACCAATTTTAGTATCTTGAAGGCTTGTGGTTGAAAATTGTCTCTTTCTCAATCAGTTTGAGCAAGGGATATGATAAATCAAATGGTGACATGAAATGGAATCAAAAGGTCAAGAATGAGAGATTCAAAGCAAAGGATTACTACATGTTTCATTTTTGTAATTAGTTATATTGCACGGTTAGTTTTCTTGTATTACAATGATAGTGTAATTAAACTTCTTTTTTGTCACATACAAAAAAAGTTTGTTTCTAAGTGTATTTGCAAAGATAAGTTTTAGCCAAGTGTTTGTGTATAGACAATTTCAATACAAATTTTGTCTGCGTACAAACAATAATTATTGTTAGTGTTTGTTTATTTTGTCTGTTTGTGGTTGAAGTATTGTCAGTGTGTGTTTATATTATCTGTGCATAATTTTTCTCGCCATAATTGTTTGTATTAAGATTTTTTACCTTAATAGGTATGTGTTGAAATAGATAAGTTACCTTAATATTATCTTTTCTATTTTTGTTTGTGGAAAAAATAATACTCCCTCCGTTCCTCAATGTTTGTCCTACTTTCCCGAAATGGATGTCCCAAAATGTTTGTCCTGCTTTTTTCTTTCCTCATTTGGCAAACAAATCTTTATCAAACAATGTCAAACAGTGCAAAACAATGTCGCTACAGTGTACAATCAAATTCATTTTCTTAATATCCGTGAAGTCAAACTAGGACAAACATTTAGGGACGGAGGTAGTATGTTTCTGAGTGTATTTGCAAAGATAAGATTTAACCAAGCATTTTTGTACAAATAATTTTTATACAAGCTAAGTTTTTTCTGTGTGCAGACAATTTCTATACAAGTTTTGTCTATGTACAAAAAATAATTATTGTTTGTGTGTTCATTTATTTTGTCTGTACGTGATTGAAGTATTGTCTGTGTGTTTGTTTATATTGTCTGTGCATAGTTGTTCAGACCGAATTTGTTTGTATGAAGATTTTTTTTACCTTAATAGGTATATGTTGAATTAGATTATTTGTGACTGTGCCCGGACAATTATTTTTCTATTTTTAAAAGAAATAATTCCAAATATATAACCAAAATAAAAGTAGTGGTAAAAATGTGATTCTAGTAACTTAAATGAGTATAATTGTATTCAAATGTTACATTATAGTGACTATAAAACTTACCCAAAGTAACTTATAATCACATTTTTGTCCATAGAGTTTTTATTAGTAATGTTTTAGAAAAAAGCTCTTTTTAAAATTGTGAATACAAAAAATTGTGATGCCACATAATGTTTTTTGGGGGAAGTTTCACAGACAATTTCCTTTAAGAAACTTCACTTACCACATTAGCACATTCTAGTAACTATTGTCTGTGAGCAAACACTTTATGCCTATTTCCCAGACAATTCTACTTAGAATATTAGCTCATTCCAGTGAGTATTGCTTGTGATCAAACATTTGATATCAAATTTGTAGACATTTTCATTTAACACATTAGCCTGTTTAAGTGATTATTGTCTGTAACCGGACACAAGTTGTTTTATGTAT